ACACAGGTGACAAACCCAAGCGGTGCCACCCCAGGTGACAAATTCCAGTGGTGCCACCCTAGATGCCACCTCAGGTGATAAATCCGAGCGGTGCCACCTGGGGTAGCAACACAGGTGACAAACCCCAGCGGTGCCACCCCAGGTGACAAATTCCAGTGGTGCCACCTCAGATGACAAATCTGAGCGGTGCCACCCCAGGTAGCAACACAGGTGACAAATCCAGCGGTGCCACCCCCCAGGTGCCACCTCAGGTGACAAACCCCAGCGGTGCCACCCCAGGTGACAAATTCCAGCGGTGCCACCCCAGATGCCAAATCCAGCGGTGCCACCCCAGTGGTGCCACCTCAGATGCCAAATCCAAGCGGTGCCACTCCAGGTGCCACCTCAGGTGACAAACCCCAGCGGTGCCACCCCAGGTGACAAACCCCAGTGGTGCCACTCCAGGTGACAAATCCAAGCGGTGCCACTCCAGGTGACAAACCCCAGCGGTGCCACCCCAGGTGACAAATCCAAGCGGTGCCACCTCAGGTGCCAAATCCAAGCGGTGCCACCTCAGGTGACAAACCCCAGTGGTGCCACTCCAGGTGCCACCCCAGGTGACAAACCCCAGCGGTGCCACCCCAGGTGACAAATCCAGCGGTGCCACCCCCAGGTGCCACCCCAGGTGCCAAATCCAGCGGTGCCAGCCCGGTGCCAGCGCGGTGCCCGCGGGCAGGTGGCGATGTCGCCGGAGCGCGTTGGGGACAGGAAAGAGCCGCGGTGGCGCTTCCTGGTGGCCGCCACACGTGACCAGCCCGGCCCGTGAGCGGCCTCGGGATCGGGATGGGGATTTGGGATTTGGGATTTGGGATGGGGATTTGGGATCGGGATTTGGGATTTGGGATCGGGATCTGGGATCTGGGATCTGGGATCGGGATCGGGATTTGGGATTTGGGATCTGGGATCTGGGATCGGGATCGGGATCGGGATTTGGGATTTGGGATCTGGGATCGGGATTTCGG